AATACCAGTGGGATTCAAGATCATGTTAACGTCACCTCTACCTTTAAATGGAATGGTATATCTCTTGCTTTATTAATCGAGTGTTATTTTTCATAACATTTATAACAGTTTCATAACAATTGTTTTTTATAAAAAAAAATGTTGAATCATGTACGTAGATTCTATTAGTTTAGGAAATATTTTAACCTTTATTGTGTAAAATCTAACAAATAAAGAGAAATATAGAATATTCTTATGTTCGAATTGTCTTTGATGCATAAATATTATGAAATTAAATTTAAAATACTTACTAAATTCATAATTTTTCGTATATATGGATTAAAATTGTTTTATGAAAATATCGCGCTGCTTTTATAAACATAATGATTAATAGTGCAAAAAATATGTCATTTCATTTAAAATATTTAAGATAATTTTTAAAATGGTGTTTTTTTTTCATAGCTTTAACTTTATTTAAAGTTAATGAATCTTTTATTAAAAAAACGTTAGCCAAAATTGCGGAAAGCCACTAAACTAGAAATTTAACAAGAATTATTATTTCCATATTATTCGATCATCTGTACTATACAATTTCTGTTCTGTTTTTCATGTCTTTAAAAACAACTGAGTAACTATTCAAGTTACGTGATTTCTCTTGTGAAAAAAAGAATATATATTATAGAATATATAAAATATATAAGAATATATAATATACAACAAATATATAAAATATAGGGTAAAAATGTAGAAAAAAATTGAATATGAAAGAGATATAATTGTTTTATCTTATTAACAATGATAAGGAAACTAAAAGGAACAAAATATTTCATATACACTCAGAATTCGAAGTTTCAATCATCAATTCATCAATTCAAATTACGCTTGTCCGCAGACTGCTAAAAATAAATTTTAATATATTAAATGCCTTATTATACCATTGACTAACTAGCATAGACTGGACATTCAATGCTTTTTCGTGTCCCAGATTTTGGGGTGTCACCTGACCCCCTTTCCATTTTCGTGTCACCAACGACGAGGTATATGAACATACCAAGCATCTTAGGGAGTTTCATGGCCCGTGATCTGAAATACCGACATATTAAAAAATGACTGGTTTTTTAGCGCACTCTACTTTTAAACAACGGTGGAATTACATCAAGTAAAACGATCGAGGTTGGTAAGGTAGTGAATCCTCCAGCAACATAATTTTTGAGACCTATTGCGGTGTTGTCAAACTTTCAATACGAAATGTGAAGCTAGTAACTAACCGAAATCATTCCATCTATAGTAAATTATATATAGTAAATTACAAAATTATTAATACATGGTTTTATGTATAGATGATTTATATTGTATTAAATATTCTCAGAAACAATTTTTAACAAAATAAATTTTCAAATCATTTGAAATTATTATTAATCGTAAATTATCAAATTTATGTTATTTTATTTTTAACAATTTTATAATTATGCAGTGCATTAATTATGTGCAAATAATATAATTTCTATAATTCATTAGTTAAAAATTACGCTTATTAATAAAAATATTATTCGAAATTTTTCTATAAACTACTTCGACTATCAATATTATGATAATAACAATTATTTATTTAATTATTTATTTGTTATT